TGTGTGTCATGTGCGGAGGAAACATTTTTATCTGAATAAATACCAGATTTTAAGTAGAAACATACATACCTGAAGTATATTTGGAAATTTTACACAGTTGACTCGGATTGGCAGTACAGGCTCTTGATAATTTCTTACAATTTTGTCCCACTGTAGTTATTTTGCAATTGATGCACTTAAGAGCTTCAGCTACTGGAAAAAAGAAGAAGCTAAATCCAGGTTGTATAAATATAATTAATTTCTATAGCTACAGAATTTCTCTATCACTCTCTACCTTTCCCCAAAGGTTTAACTGGGTAGATAGTACCCATAGAATTTATTGCATGCAAAAAGGTGAAACAGACAAAAATGAGATGGAGGGAGAGATGCATTCATTCACAAGGACCCCCATATTTAAAGAATGCAACAAATGTTCAGGGTAAAAAATCAAAAGCTTTGTGACATCTGATGATGTTCAGCAGAACCAGAATAATTCTGTTTTTTTTAAAGGGAGGGTATGAGTGGAAAATGATAAATATACAGGACATTTTTTAAGCATTCCATGGAAACATTGCCACCAATTATGACATGGAGAACTGAGTAAGTTAGTGAAAAAATGTAAAGAATATTTTAATTGTTTATTCATAGCCTGACTTGTCAGATTATTGCACTTAAAGCCACAATCCCTCTTAAAGAGCAGGTTCACTTTATAGCTCTGTAATATTGAACTTTGTGCATATCATAAAATATTTGCGATAGACAGGTCTCCACAGAAAGTTTATGTTGTTTCCATAGGGCTTAAGTGCTCTGGACTCACAACGTTTTTTGTTGCTTTATTTCATTTGTTTTTTTGTTGTTTCTAATGGTGAAGTAAAGTATTAAACTTGGCTATTTTTTTTATCCATTTGTAAATTGTAAAATTGAACTAAATGTGCCCATCAATTAGGTCAACACCACTACTGTCAAAAGATTAAAGAATATGGGACTTAAACCCTTCTTCAAAGCATTTTGTTGACCTTCCAAGTAGTGGAAAGCTTGGTTTATAGCTCAACTAAATGCACAAAATGAAGAAAATTAGTATCCAAAAATACACCCATTGTAGCAATACTGTTGAAAGCTTTAATTTTTGCTACTCACCCAAGGCAGAGCAGAGAAGGACGGCAATAGAGAACCACAAAACCTTGCTCATGTTTTCTTTTCTTCCAGCACTTGTTACTTTGAAGTAAGGTTGAAGAATTTGGTGGAACTTTGACTAGTATTGATAAAGATGATCCTGACCTGTTATAGAAGTGAGTGTTAAAACTCACACAGGCATACTTTCTGAGCAAGTCACAGATGGATGTAAGTTCTCTGGGCATTGAAGACGGTGTTATAAATACTCCAAAATTACAATAAAAATCTTATGACAAAGAATTAGCAATAACTCAGAGCAGTATGTTCTGTGCCTCGTTGCAGGCTACACCTGAATGCTTGGTTAACACATTATGAAAACTTTATTAATCAACTGGAAATAGACTAAAATTAGATTCAGTCACAGATATTATGCTCCTATTGGCAAGACTCAAGTTCTTTTAGGACTCTTCTTCCCCATTCTGTTGTGTATCATAGGAAAACACTTGTACCATTTCCAAAGGTACTGAAGACTTTCTTGGACCAAACACATGCCTTGAAATTGCCAAATTAACAGCTAAAAGACAATCTGAGGCAGAAGTGAGCATATTTTTTTGGGGGGGGGGAATCTCTGTCTTCTATTCCATATCCTGCTGCTTTTCTGTTCCAAATGACGACCTGTTACTGGCTACCAGCTTGCTTGCTTCAAGATGAGTTGAACCAATTTACGGAAGTCATAGCAGCTATCAGCCTTCATGGCAGCATGACTGCCTCTGAAGACCATCTGCTGGGAAACCAGTAGGCTCCTTGTTGTAAAGGTTGAGTAACAACAGGTACGTTTTGGATTATGATGGGCCATGGATAGCTTGAAGTGATATCACTTTTTTGCATTCATACCTTCCTTTTAGCTTACAGGTAGATTGAGTATTGAGACATCCTTCACTTTTCTTGTATTTACTCCCAAAAAGGGTAGATGAGATCTTCGGTTACGAGAAAGGGAAAAACCAAAATGTAGAGGAGAAAATAATAATATAAGGCATGCAAAATTCTGGAATAGAATTAAATTAACGAATATTGCTGCTTCTCTAAAAACTGCATAAAGAGTTGTCACCTTCCTCGTTGTCTATCTTTATTGAGTTACCCCAGGCAATGCGGAGGAGAAGATAGATGGTGAGAGGCAGAATCTTCTTCATCTCCTTACTTCTTAAATTATGACATTACAAAGAATTTAATAAGGGGTTGTCAGTAAATGGCAGTGACTGGGAATGGATTGCGTGTGATGCTCACATAATGGGAGGAAGTCAGAGACAATGTTAGCAGAGGTCACAAATCATCTTAATAATTATAGGTCAATGACAAGTGAAGTCCATATCCTTCTGTGCTCAGTTTCAAGTTAATGTTTAGAAGTCATACAATGGAGAAACTACAGTATTAATGACCCATATATTAAATTTTGATTACTTTGTGTACTGAGCTAATAGGGTTGTACCAATTTATGGAAGTCATGGAACTCCATGGCTATGAACCTTGATGGCAGCATGACTTCTTCTGAAGGTCATCTGCTGGAAAACCAGTGGGCTTCCTTGTTCAAAAGGTTGGTCACTGTGACAACAGGTATGTTTTGGGTCCTGATGGGCCATGGAAACCTTGAAGTGATATCACTTTTTTGCACTCATGCCTTCCTTTAGCCTTACAGGTAGACTCTGTATTGAGATATCCTTCACCTTCCTTGCATTTGCTCCGAAGATGGCAGATGAGATCTTCAGTTACGAGAAAGGGAAAAAAAATAAAAATATTGAGAAAATAATGACACCATTGACCTATTAAAGACCCATATCTTATAAAATGTGGGTTGCTTTGTGTATTGAACTAATGGACAATGAACAAACAAGTCATAATCCATGGGGACACATGTTTTCATCTGTTATGAATTGGCACTGGCATAAGTACAGGAAGTCTTTCTATTTATCTGAAGAATATGTTCTCTGCTCCGATATATTGATTATTCTGCATCTCTCAGAATGTTTTGATGCAGCTCAGTATGTGGAATTAATTGAAGCAGTGTTTCCAAACTGTTCTGTTATAGATAAAGAAATGGATAGATATCTTGAATGAAAGACAAATCTTAGCATTTGCTGAATAAAATAGAGATAAATTGCCTAAAAACTGTCATTTCCAAGGAAGACATTTATAGGTTTGCATGCATTCTTGGGACTGATATTATCACTTAAAATGTGTTGTAAAGACTTACCATTTCAATTATTTATGCTGCAATTGTAAGTCAAGGACTTAATACTAAGCACAATAGATACCTACTAGTACAGTAATACCAGTGTAAGACCTGCACTTATTTCGGAAAGTTCTGAGATATGAAAGGCATTTTCTTCCTTGTGCTCCATCTGACTTATGTGTATCATATCCTAACATCTGTACCAATGTCAAAGCAATCTCAGACTTTCTTCACCCAAATAAAGATGTTTCTTGAAACTTGCAGACTAATAAATGGGTTTACTTACTAAGGTCGTAAAATTGCAACTTTAGGAGAGCATCTCTTCCTTCTGCTTTCCTCTACAAATTAGGTGTTTTATTTTAAAATTCATCTATAGGCTCCCTCTTTCTTGGGATTTCCACTTTCTTCCTGTCACTGCCAAAGAATTTTGTTGCACTAGAGAAGTAAGTGTCGGCTAAATCTGAAGGTCAGGGAAAAGGCACCCCGAGTCATACAAAATCACAAACCACATACTTTACAAAATATTTAGGGAGGGGGGAATCCTAAACATGCCTGGAAGGCCCCTTGAGTTAAGGGGCAGACCATGTACAAACTGTAACCATGGGGATTAGAAACTGGAGATGTCATTTTCTTGGGGTTTGCTCCTAGATAGCAAAACTGGAAGTAACACCAGAGAATTGGTGTTGAGTCGCATGGCATTTGGATTGGAATCTCCTGGGACACCATGATTCCTTCTCTGTTTGGATAAGACCTCATCCTACTGGACATTAATATCTTGGGGGTCGTGGTGCCTTCCCTACTGTAATCCAGCTGATGCAAATGATTTATGATGGCACGATCAATAATTGGACTGTTTAGTGATGTTTTCTTGTTGTTGTTAGTTGCGAAGTCATGTCCAACCCATCGTGACTCCATGGACAACATTCCTCCAGGTCTTCCTGTCCTACCTGTCCTACCATCTTCTGGAGTCTATTTAAGCTCACGCCTACTGCTTCAGTGACTCCATCCAGCCACCTCATTCTCTGTCATCCCCTTCTTCTATTGCCCTCAATCTTTCCCAGCATTAGGCCCTTCTCCAGGGAGTCCTTCCTTCTCATTAGGTGGCCAAAGTATTTGAGTTTCAACTTCAGGATCTGGCCTTCTAAAAAGCAGTCGGGGTTGATCTCTTCTAGGACTGACTGGTTTGATCACCTTGCAGTCCAGGGGACTCGCAGGAGTCTTCTCCAGCATCGTAGTTCAAAGTTCATTAGATAACAGATAGACAGATAAACAGATGTCTATCACTTGCATTTTTTATTTGTCAGCATTTAATATTCATATACAAATCTATGTTAAATATTTGATTGCTGGAAAAGTGACATATTTTGTCATTAGTTCCATAATTTGATTTAATACATACATAAACATATTCCTGATAAAACAGGGGAATGAGTGTCTAGAAGAATGTGTAAGAACAGACTGAAGGATTACACCTCTCGCGATTCATGCTCCTTTACTGGAATCAGTAATGCCTACAAGACTGTAATCACAACCCAAAACAAACCATCACATCTTTAACAAATTGGATTCATCAGATTATTTTCTGCAGCATAGCCTTTAGAAGCTTGGAGAAAGAAAACAGTTGAAAGTTGGAGAAAACAAACTGTCCTGACTGGAGGGTGATATTGGAACACTATGACTGCTTTGTTTATGGTGTGTTGCAGAGGTCATGATCATCACAACATTTTATATCCCTAACACCAAGTAGTGTTAGCTCCCAATTCAGATGACATTGATGATTAGATTTAGTGCAGGTTTGTACCATGAAGTCTTCGAACGTTCCTATTGTAAAGGAAGAAAATAGATTAGCACATCAACTTCATTGGTTATACAAATCCTGAAGAGCATAGCCAAGAAATCTCTTTAGAACAGCTTTCAACATCCTGGTACCCTCTCCCCAAGGTAGTATATCCAGTTCATCAAATTGGATGGGAATTCTGGGAGTTGAGGCTCTAAATTATAGGGGGTCACCAAGATTGGAATAGTCTGTAAAAATGGAAGGCATTGGATTGGATGGATAGAAACTACAAATTACATACCCCCTCTCTACTTTCTTCTCTACCCAGAACAGAGAAAACAAGAGAAAACATGACATGTGTCATGTCAAAGGGAATATTTTTATCTGAATATTATTGGATTTTGAGCCGAGACATACCACTAAAATAAACAATTATACACTTTTGATCTGGTTTCGCAATACAGGTTTTTGATGGCTCCTTACAAGCAGATCCCTTCGGAAATTTACTGCACCTCTTGCAGGTAAGAGCTTCAGCTTCTGGAAAAAGAAGAGAAAGAAACAAAAAAGAAAAAAGAAACAAAATCCAGATTGTATAAATATAATTAATTCCCATAGCTCCAGAACTTATTTACCTCTCTTTTTCCTGATAGCTTAACTTAGAAGTTATAGAATTATAGGCAAAATGGTAAAATTGAAAAAAAGAGAAAGGGAGGTATTCATTCATTCATTCATTCATTCATTCATTCATTCAAGTATTAATCTCAAGCATTTTTTCTACCCATTTTTAAATTGTAAAACGGAGCTGAAACTTCCCATCAATTAAGTCATCATAAAAACTGTCAAACTATTTAAAATATGAGACATAAAACCCTATTCAAAAACAGTTTGCTGGCTTTCAAGCAGTGGGACGCTTGGTTTACGGTTCAACCAAATAGACAAAAAGATGGAAATGCATACAGTATCCAAAAATACACCCATTGTAGCAATACTATTGAAAGCTATAATCTTGCTTACTCACCCAAGGCAGAGCAGAGAAGAATGGCAATAGAGAACCACAAAGCCTTGCTCATGTTTTCTTTCCTTCCAGCAATTGTTGCTTTGAAGTAAGGTTGAAGAATTTGGTGGAACTTTGATTGGTATTGATGAAGATGATCCTAACCTGCTATCAAAGTCAGTATTACAACTCACAAATAAATACTTTCTTGGCAAATCACAGATGGATGTAAGTTCTCTGGATAATTAAGATGGTGTTATAAATACTCCAAAAATACAATAAAAACCTAATGACCATGAATCAGCAATAGCCCAGTTCTGTGCCTTGTTATAGGTTACACCTGACTGCTTGATTATGACATCATGAAAACCTTCTTAATCAAGTGGAAAATACACTGTAGTTAGACTTACCCAATGATACTATACTCATATTGGTAAAATTCAGGTTGTATTAGGACCTTTCTTTCCCATTCTTTGTATATCTTATGAAATCATACACTTGTACGATTTTCAAAGCTACTGGAGACTTTCATGGGCTGAACGTATACCTTAAAATTGACAAATTAACAGATAAAAGACTATGAGAGACACAAAACAACCATATTTTGGTCAAATTCTCTTCTTCTATTCCACGTTCTGCTACTTGTCCTCTCCAAATGATGGCCTTCACCATTGCCATGAAATATGGTGCTGGCTAGCAGCTTGCTTGCTTCAGAAAGGGGTTGTACCAATTTATGGAAGTCATGGAACTCCATAGCTATGAACCTTGATGGCAGCATGACTTCTTCTGAAGGTCATCTGCTGGAAAACCAGTAGGCTTCCTTGTTCAAAAGGTTGGCCACTGTGACAACAGGTATGTTTTGGGTCCTGATGGGCCATGGAAACCTTGAAATGATATCACTTTTTGCACTCATGCCTTCCTTTAGCCTTACAGGTAGACTCTGTATTGAGATATCCTTCACCTTCCTTGCATTTGCTCCGAAGATGGCAGATGAGATCTTCAGTTACGAGAAAGGGGAAAAAAATAAAAATATTGAGAAAATAATGACACCATTGACCTATTAAAGACCCATATCTTATAAAATGTGGGTTGCTTTGTGTATTGAACTAATGGACAATGAACAAACAAGTCATAATCCATGGGGACACATGGTTTCATCTGTTATGAATTGACACTGGCATAAGTACAGGAAGACTTTCTATTTATCTGAAGAATATGTTCTCTGCTCCGATATATTGATTATTCTGCATCTCTCAGAATGTTTTGATGCAGCTCAGTATGTGGAATTAATTGAAGCAGTGTTTCCAAACTGTTCTGTTATAGATAAAGAAATGGATAGATATCTTGAATGAAAGACAAATCTTAGCATTTGCTGAATAAAATAGAGATAAATTGCCTAAAAACTGTCATTTCCAAGGAAGACATTTATAGGTTTGCATGCATTCTTGGGACTGATATTATCACTTAAAATGTGTTGTAAAGACTTACCATTTCAATTATTTATGCTGCAATTGTAAGTCAAGGACTTAATACTAAGCACAATAGATACCTACTAGTACAGTAATACCAGTGTAAGACCTGCACTTATTTCGGAAAGTTCTGAGATATGAAAGGCATTTTCTTCCTTGTGCTCCATCTGACTTATGTGTATCATATCCTAACATCTGTACCAATGTCAAAGCAATCTCAGACTTTCTTCACCCAAATAAAGATGTTTCTTGAAACTTGCAGACTAATAAATGGGTTTACTTACTAAGGTCGTAAAATTGCAACTTTAGGAGAGCATCTCTTCCTTCTGCTTTCCTCTACAAATTAGGTGTTTTATTTTAAAATTCATCTATAGGCTCCCTCTTTCTTGGGATTTCCACTTTCTTCCTGTCACTGCCAAAGAATTTTGTTGCACTAGAGAAGTAAGTGTCGGCTAAATCTGAAGGTCAGGGAAAAGGCACCCCGAGTCATACAAAATCACAAACCTCCTCCACATACTTTACAAAATATTTAGGGAGGGGGGAATCCTAAACATGCCTGGAAGGCCCCTTGAGTTAAGGGGCAGACCATGTACAAACTGTAACCATGGGGATTAGAAACTGGAGATGTCATTTTCTTGGGGTTTGCTCCTAGATAGAAAAACTGGAAGTAACACCAGAGAATTGGTGTTGAATCGCATGGCATTTGGATTGGAATCTCCTGGGACACCATGATTCCTTCTCTGTTTGGATAAGACCTCATCCTACTGGACATCAATATCTTGGGGGTCGTGGTGCCTTCCCTACTGTAATCCAGCTGATGCAAATGATTTATGATGGCACGATCAATAATTGGACTGTTTAGTGATGTTTTCTTGTTGTTGTTAGTTGCGAAGTCATGTCCGACCCATCGTGACTCCATGGACAACATTCCTCCAGGTCTTCCTGTCCTACCTGTCCTACCATCTTCTGGAGTCCATTTAAGCTCACGCCTACTGCTTCAGTGACTCCATCCAGCCACCTCATTCTCTGTCGTCCCCTTCTTCTATTGCCCTCAATCTTTCCCAGCATTAGGCCCTTCTCCAGGGAGTCCTTCCTTCTCATTAGGTGGCCAAAGTATTTGAGTTTCAACTTCAGGATCTGGCCTTCTAAAAAGCAGTCGGGGTTGATCTCTTCTAGGACTGACTGGTTTGATCACCTTGCAGTCCAGGGGACTCGCAGGAGTCTTCTCCAGCATCGTAGTTCAAAGTTCATTAGATAACAGATAGACAGATAAACAGATGTCTATCACTTGCATTTTTTATTTGTCAGCATTTAATATTCATATACAAATCTATGTTAAATATTTGATTGCTGGAAAAGTGACATATTTTGTCATTAGTTCCATAATTTGATTTAATACATACATAAACATATTCCTGATAAAACAGGGGAATGAGTGTCTAGAAGAATGTGTAAGAACAGACTGAAGGATTACACCTCTCGCGATTCATGCTCCTTTACTGGAATCAGTAATGCCTACAAGACTGTAATCACAACCCAAAACAAACCATCACATCTTTAACAAATTGGATTCATCAGATTATTTTCTGCAGCATAGCCTTTAGAAGCTTGGAGAAAGAAAACAGTTGAAAGTTGGAGAAAACAAACTGTCCTGATTTGAGGGTGATATTGGAACACTATGACTGCTTTGTTTATGGTGTGTTGCAGAGGTCATGATCATCACAACATTTTATACCCCTAACACCAATTATTACTAGCCCCCAAGTCAGATGACATTCATCATTAGATTTAGTGCAGGCTTGTGCAATTAAGTCTGTGGACATTCTTATTGTAAAGGAAGAAAATAGATTAGCACATCAACTTCATTGGTTATACAAATCCTGAAGAGCATAGCCAAGAAATCTCTTTAGAACAGCTTTCAACATCCTGGTACCCTCTCCCCAAGGTAGTATATCCAGTTCATCAAATTGGATGGGAATTCTGGGAGTTGAGGCTCTAAATTATAGGGGGTCACCAAGATTGGAATAGTCTGTAAAAATGGAAGGCATTGGATTGGATGGATAGAAACTACAAATTACATACTCCCTCTCTACTTTCTTCTCTATGCAGAACAGAGAAAACATGACATGTGTCATGTCAAAGGGAATATTTTTATCTGAATATTATTGGATTTTGAGCCGAGACATACCATTAAAATAAATAATTTTACACTTTTGATCTGGTTTCGCAATACAGGTTTTTGATGGCTCCTTACAAGCAGATCCCATCTGAAATTTTCTGCATCTCTTGCAGGTAAGAGCTTCAGCTTCTGGAAAAAGAAGAGAAAGAAACAAAAAAGAAAAAAGAAACAAAATCCAGATTGTATAAATATAATTAATTCCTATAGCTCCAGAACTTATTTACCTCTCTTTTTCCTGATAGCTTAACTTGGAAGTTATAGAAGTATAGGCAAAATGGTAAAATTGAAAAAAAGAGAAAGGGAGGTATTCATTCATTCATTCATTCATTCATTCAAGTATTAATCTCAAGCATTTTTTCTACCCATTTTTAAATTGTAAAACGGAGCTGAAACTTCCCATCAATTAAGTCATCATAAAAAACTGTCAAACTATTTAAAGTATGAGACATAAAGCCCTATTCAAAAACAGTTTGCTGGCTTTCAAGCAGTGGGACGCTTGGTTTGCGGTTCAACCAAATGGACAAAAAGATGGAAATGCATACAGTATCCAAAAATACACCCATTGTAGCAATACTATTGAAAGCTATAATTTTGTCTACTCACCCAAGGCAGAGCAGAGAAGAATGGCAATAGAGAACCACAAAGCCTTGCTCATGTTTTCTTTCCTTCCAGCAATTGTTGCTTTGAAGTAAGGTTGAAGAATATGGTGGAACTTTGATTGGTATTGATGAAGATGATCCTAACCTGTTATCAAAGTCAGTATTACAACTCACAAATAAATACTTTCTCGGCAAATCACAGATGGATGTAAGTTCTCTGGATAATTAAGATGGTGTTATAAATACTCCAAAAATACAATAAAAATCTAATGACCATGAATCAGCAATAGCCCGGTGCAGTATGTTCTGTGCCTTGTTATAGGTTACACCTGACTGCTTGATTATGACATCATGAAAACCTTCTTAATCAAGTGGAAAATACACTGTAGTTAGACTTACCCAATGATACTATACTCATATTGGTAAAATTCAGGTTGTATTAGGACCTTTCTTTCCCATTCTTTGTATATCTTATGAAATCATACACTTGTGTGATTTCTACTGGAGACTTTCATGGGCTGAACGTATACCTTAGAATTGACAAATTAACAGATAAAAGACTATGAGAGACACAAAACAACCATATTTTGGTCAAATTCTCTTCTTCTATTCCACGTTCTGCTACTTGTCCTCTCCAAATGATGGCCTTCACCATTGCCATGAAATATGGTGCTGGCTAGCAGCTTGCTTGCTTCAGAAAGGGGTTGTACCAATTTATGGAAGTCATGGAACTCCATGGCTATGAACCTTGATGGCAGCATGACTTCTTCTGAAGGTCATCTGCTGGAACACCAGTGGGCTTCCTTGTTCAAAAGGTAGGCCACTGTGACAACAGGTATGTTTTGGGTCCTGATGGGCCATGGAAACCTTGAAGTGATATCACTTTTTTGCACTCATGTCTTCCTTTAGCCTGACAGGTAGACTCTGTATTGAGATATCCTTCACCTTCCTTGCATTTGCTCCGAAGATGGCAGATGAGATCTTCAGTTACAAGAAAGGGAAAAAAAATAAAAATATTGAGAAAATAATGACACCATTGACCTATTAAAGACCCATATCTTATAAAATGTGGGTAGCTTTGTGTATTGAGCT